GTCAACCAATACAGTGAATGTTTCATCATGCCGTACAATCAATGTGTACAGATGCGTCCTGTGATCATCAAAATATGTTGAAACCGATTTCGAGGGCTGCTTAGCATGATGTTCCTGAAACAGAAAAACCACTGGCAATCAAATAATGCTTACTTTCCAAGGTGCACTCTTGAACAGAGCAAGTTCAAGTCAGTTAAGAAACAAGGATAACCTTATTAATTAATAATACTGTTAAAACACAATAAGTGAATATAAACTAACAGATATGGTGCCATTTTTTGGATTCCGGAAGCGGACGATGAAGTGCACTTTGGACGTAGCCCCACATTTGTCGGGACCAAACATGATTGTGTACGGAGTTTTGTCGGTAAATTCATCCAATTTTTTCTCAGCCCCCTCTGTTAACAATTTCACATAACCTCCGCCACACTCTTGCCCATCTTCGTATTTCACCTCGTACCTTAATCACATAGATTTTAATAAAATTTAGGCCTCAATCGAAATACATTCAGCAGCCCGAAGCACTGTATGTCAAACATCTTGCCCAAACTCAAAAAAATTCAAAACAATTCAAAGCTAATCTTAAGGCTAACCAGCCAAGTGAGGTATGAGTGAACAAAAATGCAGAAGTTTCAAATACTGGGAATGCCAAAATCTCATTTCTGTTTTTCGGTGCATAAACTACGTGGACGAAAGGCGAAGGAAGAGAGCACAAAGAAAAATTATACTTTTTGGGGTGGAAGATTAAAGAAAACTTACTGTACAACCAACGGCTTGCTATCGAATTTAAATGGTCGGGTGAATTTTGTGGCAATTGCATGATGGCGCGCTCTCGTCTTCACAATCAGTGCCAAGTCTCCATCGATAATAACTCTTTCTGGTGCACCAATCTCCCATTCACCTACAAACACATTGTTCACCTCACAAATGTCAAGAAAAAGCAAGAAAATGCTGACTGACCTCGACCGCTCTCTTGAATCATTTTTCAACCGTGTACTAGCAAGGTCGATGAAGTTGAAAAAAACGTTTTGTTGCATAGGGACGACAAAGAAAATCTACGAAATTTATGTCCAATCAAATAGTCCGCATAATAAAAACGTATGCTTATTCAAAACAATTTGCTTGCACTTTCTTGTTTACGGGAGCATAATTTCAGCAAATCAGGAAATGATTTTGTTATTTACCCCTTACACTAATCTGACTTAAATCCAACATTTGAGGAACTGTTTTGGATAATCGTCACCAGAAACTAATACCCGTACTCACGAAAATTTTTCCCCAAGCCTTGCGAACTGCGCCCAAAGGTTAAGCACCACCAATCCACAGGCCTGGTGCATGCCAGTGCATTTAAGTAACAATATAAACAGCGGAACAGTACAACGACTGACCGGGTAGTCCTGGTAGAATTTATTACAGAACCGTTGATAAAACATACAAATTTTTCTAAAAAAGTGAGCTGAAGTTAGAGATGATCAAAAGCCCCGAATTTCCAAGGGACAGTAGAAACAACAGAAAAAATAAATATAAGTGCGCATCAGGTAATCATGCGTTTCCATAATTCCGCCCAACAGAACTTTGCATGTCAAGAATTCTCAATGTTTCACACTTTCGTAGTTGCAGAAACAGTCGACATTTGCAGAAAGCTTCCTAAGCTGCGAAATTTTCCACTAAAAACTCCATGCACCAGTTCGAGAAACGTAAGCGTACGCGAAAGCTGCATATGAAATTTGCAGCGTCGCATGTGAGCAGAGGATATTCTAAAATTTCAGTCTCCTAGTTTTCGCGGTTCATAAAATACTGATTTTTCTCGCTAAAATTTTCACATATCCGCATGTGAAACCTAGCAGCGCAGAAAAGTTGGACCTGAATTTGCGAGGTCACACGCTGGCAGAGGACAACCTCCTAGAATTTCCGTCTTCAGGCTCAAGTTACGGCTGAAACTTTGCTTTGGCCGTATGTGGGAATTAGTGTATGTGGATGCCGAATTTTATTTTACGGGGTCGCATGTGCCCAGAAATCTCAGCCTCCTAGCTTTAATGGCCCTTGAGTTGAAAATACGGGAATAAATGCATTCGAGTACACACGCACACACACATACTCACGCACACACAAACACACATACGACAGGAGGAGTGACAATATGAGTTTTATTCAGCTGTCACATAGCACACGACGCATAAAATGATAAGCTCTAATTACACACTCGCCAATATGCTTTGCAGGACTTCAAGTGGGTCCAGATATTGGCGTCATCAAAACACTCATCAAAACTACTTTTTTAACTGTTCTGATTCGTAATGCCCTTGATTCAATTAACTGCTTGGAAGCAAAAAAAAGCAAAATATTACAAACCGTTGTATTTGGCAATTGAATCTTCCACATCGTCTTTTTTGCCCTTTGATGCAATCCACTTCTTGCCAATGGCACCGCGATCAGAGAACCAATCCACCAATAACGGTTTACCAGCAACAGTTGGCGTCACAAATGGAGGAGGCACATATTCCTGGATAATGTATAGAATGCTGCATTCAAATTCCAAAATTTAGGCAAAATTGAATTTGTAAATTGCAACTTAAAAAATAAATTGGTTTGATCAACAAGATCTTGAAAATATTTGAAAAACACAAGCGTTAAATTCAGTTAAATCTATCGTGGCCAAATTTCAGTTTCCGGATTCATCCGTTTTTTAAACATGCAAAAATAAAAAAGCACAGAAAAAACCATCAAGTTGAAAGATCAGTCTAAACGACTGCACAGACTTATGCGGCTGACAGGTCCAATAAATAGATGAATGGTGAGGTAACTATTCACTACTGGTAGCGAGGAAAAATGCGATAGTGAAGCAACAGCCGATATCAAAGTGAGTAAACCATGAAAAGATATCGTGCTTCATAAAAATGTGTTACGTCAAGTAAGATATTTTAAACATAAAGCAGCAGGACCTAGTTCCCTCGCTTTTTAAGCAGGTAATGAAATGAA